ACCAAGGCTTTGGAGATGAACTGGCAGATTGTGTAAATATGAGCGATGTTACCACCACCTTTCACATGGACTCAGATGTCCATGCCAGTGAACCATTCTTTACCTAGAAACAGAACAGATTCCAGGAGCTTGTACTACAGCAAGGGGGGGGGGGTCAATCATCTCGAGGCCATTGCCCCACTACCAGTGTGCCACGATTGTGGCGGTCTTCTTGCATCTGAAGACTTGAAACCTGAACAGACTTGGACAGCATGGCTGGTGGCTAGCAGGAGGGATCCTCTCCATGCTGTGGTGCAACTAGAAAAGGAAGAATCTTTTAGAAAAGTGAGAATCTTTTCTCAAGAATGTTTTCTTGATGTGAAACTTCAATCCATATTGAGAACTGCAGTCTTTGACCTTCTGCAGCAAACACCTCAAGGCCTCCTCAGTTTGGCAAGCAAGATTGTGTCATCTGCATAGCACAGGTTGTTGATGAGTCTTCCTCCAGTCCTGATGCCACATTCCTCCTCATAAAGTTCAGCCTCCGGAATGATCTGTTCTGCATATAGACTGAAAAGGCAAGGAGACAGGATCTATCCCTGACACATTCCTTTCCTAATTTTGAACCATGCGGTATTTCTATGCTCTGTTCTTAGGACTGCTTCCTGGTCCAAGTATAGGTTTCACATGGGCACAATGAAGTGTTCAGGGATTCCCATTCTTCTCAAGGTTAGCCACAATTTGTTGTGATCCATACAGTCAAATGTCTTTCCATAGTGAATGAAACATAGACATTTTTCTGGTACTCCCTGCTTTCAGCCAAGATCCTTGACATTGGCTATGATGTCCCTAGTACCACACCTCTTCTAAACTCAGCTTGCACTTCTGGCAGTTCCCTGTCAATGTACTGTTCTGGTCATTTTTGGATAATCTTTAGCAGGATCTTGCTTGTGTGTGGTAGTATTTTATCATTTCCACACTCTTAATATACTTAGGGAGATGGATTTCCTGAGGTCTAATCTAACCCTCTTGTTGCATTGAAAATCCATAACTGAAATAAAATATTTGATACCTGAATTTTCTTTAATCACGATTCTAAGATGTAAAATACAATCATCAAGTCATTCATCAGTATACTGTCCTCCTGACTAACTCATCCTTGTTCCTTCTTTTTACCTTCTACACAGTTGAATTTTCTCTCAAGTCATAGTCACCTTCTTTAAGCTCTTAAGCCTGTTAAAGGACACCAAACTCGAATGAGGGTTAATGAAACAAAGAAAAAAACCCAAAAGCAAAACCAAGCCCAATTCTGACGCAGGCCAGCCCCATATGTACAGCTTTGATCCGTTTGAGTGTAAGAGATTATGTGGGCTTGAACCATCAACCTTTCAGTTACTAGTTGAACACAAACTATTTTTGTACCACCCAGAGACCCTAGGTTGTAACTAATATGGTGCAGAATGGGGCAAGGTTCTGTGGTTGCTGTGAGTTATAGTGGACCGGAAGGCACCGAACAATAACATCAACAATTATGTTTAAGAGTCCCTGGGTTGGTACAAATAGGTAAGATGTAGCTAACTGAAAGTTTGCAGGTTCCAGTCTATCCAGTGATAGCTCCAAAGATCTCTCTCATTGAAAAATCAGCCCCTGAAACCCTTTGGAGCATAATTCTACTCTCAAACCCCTGAGGTTGCCACCAGCTGTCGTTGTCTCTATTGCAATTGGTTTTTAAACTATATATGACCACATATCGCCTCTTTCCATGTCATGATTGCTGACTTGTGCTGCACAGTTGCCTAAGTTTTAGGCCTCAAATTGCATTCCTCTGACTTGCCTCTCTCTGTACCAATGTTTCCACACCCCTCCCCCCCAATCCGCCCCCATCACCTCCTAATTTTTCAGTTTGTTGAAACTGGAGAGATGAAAAATTGGGTCAGGGTTGCGATCACATCGATTGCCTCTGCTTTCCCGTCTTTTCTGGCCTGGCGCTCCTCCCTCCCCACCCCCATCTATTTTTAGCCTGCCTCTGTTTTCCTTAGTCTGGCTGCCAACCAGCCGGCCTCTTTCTCCTCGCTGTCCTTATCTCTCCCCTGCAGCCTGCACAGACCCCGGCTGCCCTCCCAGAGGTCTCTTGCCTGCCCAGTTTATTTTGGTTTTCTTCCGTCTTGAAGAGATGAAGGGTCTTCCTAAAAGGGGGTTCGCCATGCTCTGACAAGGGGGGAGCAGAGAGATGATGCCACTTTGGTCTGTTTAGGCAAAGCCTTCAACGTTACTGTGAAACACTCAGGTCATCCCCGACCCTTTGCACAATGGCTTTTCCTTTTCTCTGTGCACAGAGATTCCTAATTCCCTCCATTTCCTCTTCACTCCTATGATCCAGTCCAACCCCCAGCTGAGAAATATTAGTTTCTATCCACCTGGCCATTCTGGGCCCATTTGCTTGACTTTGGAGCAGAAAGCACCCCTGCAAGTTCTTGCCTGTCTTCTTGGCCCGCACATTACCGTTCTAACCTTATCCTTTGCTTGGTGTCTCGCTCGACACTCCCCAGTGGCCCCTCTCACAAAGCACCCCCCCCACCTCCTATCTCTCCTGTACCCTCCTTTCTAGGATACCACAGTCTCATTTCTAAAGGGCCTTTCTTTGCTTGTTCAGCCCTGGCTTGTCAAATGGCCCCCACTTGTCCTTTCTCAGCCTCCTCCAGATATTGGTCCCCATCTTTAGCTGTCACCAACTAGCTGAATAAGGCTGGATATTTTGGAAGGGGAGCTGCAGCTGGCTGGGGGAGGAGGGCGGCACTGAGAGAACAGAGACAGGGCGCTGTGGGCAGCCTTGCAGAGATGAGAGCTTTCCAGGATCCTTCTCCCCCCAACTTTGTGTCTGGAAGCTGGTGGGATTCCACCGTTCCTCTTCTACGCCTTAAGTTTATTTCGCCACTCAACAGTAACACAGAACCTCAGTTTGCAATATATGACATTGTTTTACATCTTGACATCTACAAGATGCACTCTCTTCTTTCAAATTGACTCCTCATGTCCCCCTTCCTCCCAGACCTCCTCCTATACTGACCACCCTATCTAAACTCACAGCCTCTCCTCAGCATCCCCTATCCTCTTATCCCTGCTCTGGTTCTTTTCTAGGAAACACTTGCCACCTTCCAACACAAGATATCATTTCCTTATCTGTATGGCTTACATATTTCCTTCATGTTCAGTTGTAGATCCCACAAGGGCAGGATTTCTACATTGATATATCCACACTACTGGCCTTATGGGTAAAGAGTTGCACTGCCAACCCAAAGGTATACTGTGCCAATTACCCAGCCGCTCCTTGAGATAAAGATGAACAATCTCCTCCCATGTTATTTGCAACCTCTGAAAACCTGCTGGAGGGTCAGTTGGGAGTCAGTTCTGACTTAATGGTACATGACAACCTCCACCTAGTAATGAAGAAATGCTCTTATTATAGTCATACAAACCCAAGGACAGTAGGTCAGGAGTGTTATTCCCATTTCGCAGATGGGAAGAAGGCTGAGATTCAGAGAATCCAACCCAGCAGATGGCTGACAGGAGAGGTTGAATATTTATTACTCAGTGGACAAATCAGTGCAATTCCAAGTGTCTTTAAGGATCTGGGCAGCTGAAGAGTCATTCTCTCTGTGTCATATTTCCTTTGAGAATATTTTACTCTTATTCCCATTTCCCACTCTTCTCCCCTCAGTAATTCCTCCTAATATTTCCACCCCACCCAATCCCAGCTTTTTCTTTCCCCTGAGAATTTTAACTCCTGTTCTCTCGTGTCCAACTAGCTCGATCTGGAGAACTTCATGCGTGGGTTTCGTCTAAGCATATTCAGCCTCACTTGAGTCTCAGTTTGCACCCCTCACCACTCCACCCACCCTGGGGTAGTTATGAGCCTGTTCTTTTCCAAAGCAATTAGTGCAAGGAGGCCAGCCGACTCGGTGCTAATGCTATTTCATTAAGTGAGAGCAATCCTAATGATAATAAAATGGCACATTTAACATTCAAACATTGAACAGGGTTTCTAAGCGAGTGTGTCTCTCTCTTTCTTTCTGGTATAACAGTTCCATCTTCATAAAGACCTGACAATACACCTTTAATGAGAGACAGGGGAGCCAAGAGAATCGCTACAAAGAGGGGGGTGATGGTGAGAGAAAGAACCCAGAGAAAGAGGGTGTGGTGCATTGAGGGAATAACTCCAAGAATTCCTGGGAAATGGAATCTGGGGTACTGATTTAGACAATTAAAGCCTGTAGGAAATGAGGTCACTTGGAAAAGAAAGCCCACCAAAGATTTGAAAGCAATGCATTATTTATTCATTTGTTTGTTCAACCAATTTTGCTCGGCAAATATTTATTGTGCACTTAAGAGGAATCAGATTTTATGGGAGTTTGTGATGGAGGATGGCTCTAGTTTTAGGAAAAAGGATTTCAAGGACGGTAATAATCTACCTGTTGTGGTGATTATGTGCTGTCAAGTGGAAACTGACTCATAGCTGACCCTCCAGTGGGTTTTCAGAGGCTAGTAATGCACGGGAGGAGACTGTCCATGTTTCTCCCTCAGAGCAGCAGGTAAATTCAAACCTAGTGCCTTCGGGTTGACAGCATACCTCTTTACCATCCTAGGCCACCAGAGCTCCCTAAGAGTCTACTAGAAAGCATTTCTTTACCTCTGCCTGGGCAGATTTTAGTCAAATTCATTTCAACTTCATCAAAGGTCCCTTAGCCTCCTGAGCCTGTCCTTGTGTCGTCTCCTTACTGGGACCTTCATTTCAGAGATCCTTGCTGTTCTGTGATTATTTTAAAAATCTAAATGACAAGAAAATGGTGGGATTGGGGAACTGGTCAAGAGAAAAGAGTCCAACTCCATCATCAAGTGTTAGGGGCAGAGACTTAACACAAACGATCACATCACCTGGTCACTTCCTTTGACTGAAGACTCCTCCCTTGCATAAGGCTTTATTCTCAAATCCCATGCATAAAGGGGAGAGCAGAGATCAGGTGTCAAAGGTGAGCTTTGCCAAGGCCAGGGAATCGGCTGATTCGGAAAGGTGTCAAGTCGTAGGATGGTGTTAATTTCATGCTTAATTCATACAGAACCTTCCCAACCACGGGGGACAGCTTGAATCCATGCCCTGGGGGAAATAGAGTAGGCTGTTGAGCATCTTAGAGACAAAGAGGCTGGACCACTTGCAGTCCCCACTTACCAGACTGGAATAATTCTCCTCTTGGAGAATTATTAAAGCCAGATGTTGCCTCCCACCATCAATCTCCCTTCTTCTCTGACTGTCCAGCCCCCCTTCAGTATCTAGATCTCAAGACCTATCTGGCCAGCTCAGAGCATGGAAAATGCCATTTTTGCCCAACACCTAGGTAGGCCAGCTGGAAGGCACCCCATCTCCCCTTCTTCAGGCTCACCAGAAAATCCAGCCCCGATGATGATGTTGTCATACTTTGGATGGCGATCGAGAATGAAGTGCTTATCAGGGGTGTTCTGGAAAGAAACAATCATACCCGTTTCCTTTGAGGGTAGAGGCAGAAGGTAGAACTACAGGCTATGAAGGGAGGAGACTGGCTAGATTTCTTGCCAGAAAAAAAGAAACAAAGCAGGAATGGGACGTAGGAATGCTTCCCATATGCCAGCGCCCCCTCTGGGTTTGCCAGTCTTTCTGATTTGTCCATCTGTCTCCATTCTCATACAGAGCTATGAAAACAGTAGGTGCTCAGCTAATGCTCATAAGCTAACTTTCGCCAAGATGCCCCAGGTCCTGGTGGCATCTGTCTCTTCTCTCTTTCCCTGAGGCCTGATTAACTGGCACATCTTGAAAAAAAAACACACATCACAACTTTCAGAGCTCTTCTGGGAAATGCAGTGAAGGATTGTCAGGCATAAACCTAGTTTCCTAGTGGAAAAGAATATGGCTAATCCCTGATGGGCCCCTCTCTGGTGGAGGTGAGCAGACCTGCAGAAAGTTAGACACTAAGTCAGGGTTCAAACAGAGCCTGGCCTGATCAACACAAGGTCTGTCTGTATCCCTGTCTCTCTCCCTGATGCTTTCCAGGACCATGAGAAGTTTGGGGGTAGGGGGCTGCCCAGACCCCATACCGTGTACATGCAGCGCTCCATAATGGCAGGTGTGGGTTCTAGGCCAGGAAAGTGACCTCGGACAAAGCGGCTCACCAGCTCAGCTTCCTGGATATCCGAGAACGCAGAAGGGCAGTCCCTCTCCTCAGGATCTGCGTTGTTGCCGTGGTGATAGCTGACCTGGCTTCCAATCAGAGCAGCGTGAGCAGAGAGGGCTGGCCTTCTGTGCACACCCACCCAGCCAAGCGCGGAGTTTGCACACAGCGTCCCCCATCCATCATCCAAGCTTTCCCAGTTCTGAAGGGTGCTGTCTGGAGGTTGTCTCCCTGCCCATTCCCCACCGGCCCTATGTTTGCAGCAGCATTTCAGAATGTGAGATCCTCAAAAAGGGGGCTTCTTTTGATGGGGCTTGGGACAACTCAGGGTCTAGCATTGCAAAACAGTGAGTAGCTGAGGGATGCTACTGCTGACTGATCTGAGGGCATCTGCTAAAAGTTAGAGCAGTTACTTCAAGAGTTCATGTTGTTATGTATTGTTGAGTCGGAACTGACCTGCAGCTGACCCTCTAGAGGTTTTTCAGAGTCACTTAATTACATGAGAGATTACCCATCCTTCTCCTGTGGAGCAGTTGGTGGATTCGAACCAGGTGCCTTTAGGATTGCAGTGCAGCTTCTTGCCACTAGGCCACCCGAGCTCCTTTCAAGTCCTCATAGGCACCTATTAATCTGCTCTTGGTCTTATGTACTGCTCACCTTCATCAGCCCTGGGTACTCTCCTGCAGGCATCCCATAGAAGTAGTGGGGAGCCAGGTTCCTGTCCAGGGCGATAAAGCATGGAAAGGCTTTGGACACACCATGGCTCCCAGGGACCTTCTCAGGCCAGTAATACACATTGATCCTCAGGGTCTTTGAGCACAGAAAGGAAGTGGGAGATGAAAAGAGGAAGTCAGGAAACTCTCTAGACAAAAAGAGTAATTTCTCTTGCACTACTGCAATCTTTCAATACAAGCCCAGACGCCCACTTCAACACACACACATCCTTGCTTCACCCAACATTCTCATGTCATTTATACATTATGATGCACAAGTCTTCTAATTTCTGAGCATTTGGTACCGGCCAGAAGCCCTGAATGTGCAGTCAGTTAATGAAATCAGCTGCTAATTGAAAGCTCATTCAGAGGTGCCTCAAAAGAAAGGCCTGGCAATCTAATTATGGAAAACAAGCCTTGAAACCTCTGTTGTGGTGTTAAGTGCCGTTGAGTTGTAGGTGACTTATAGTGACCCTATGGATGAAAGTCCTCCACACTTGTGTGACTTTCATCCTTTCTCCAGGTTCATAGGGTTTCCAGAGGGAGCACGATTCTACTTTGATGCATGTGAGGTTGCCATAAATCAGAATTGACTTGATGGCAACTGTTTTTTCTTTTTTTACCGTAGGCTGGACTTTCTCTTTAGAGCGTTATACCCATTACATCCTTCAATTCTCAAATAGTTGTATGAGGAAGCTATTATCCTCCCATTTTAAAGAAGATAAAACTGAGGCTCATGAGTAAATTCCTTTACCCTATGTTGTCCACTAGTAAGTGACAGATTCAGGATTCAAACTTGAGTCCATCGGTCTCTAAGACTTCTCTTACGTGTCAACCCTCAGCTTGAGGTCACCCTTACCTGGAGAGGTAACTGGATTCCCAAGGGACGGAGGAGCCGGTTGGTCCAAGGCCCTGCTGTGATGATCACACTCTTGGCCTGGTAGCTCCTGGAAGTGGTTCTCACTGTGACTGGGAGGCCTGGTTTTATCTCTAGCACCTTCTCTCCATCTTGCACTATGCCTCCCAGCTGTCGAATTGCATCCTAAAAGGGCAGGGAAGGAGAGAAGCAAATTCATTTGTACTTGGGGTTCACCCTTGTGGACAGAGTCGTCCTTCTCAGGATAGAAAATGAAAGCAGATACTCTCCTACATACTCTCCTACAAGGCCTAGCAGGGTGTATGGAGTCCCTGGGTGGTGCAATAACTTCAACTGCTCAGCCAAAAGGGTGAAGGTTCACATCTGCCCACGGATACCTCAGAAAAAAGGCCTGGTGATTTACTTTGGAAAAATTAGCTACTGAAAACCCTTTGGAGCCTTGGTCTACCTTGACATACTCGGGTCGCTGCAAGTTGTTACTATGAGCCTGCTATATCAACTCAACAGCTGCTGATGTAACAGAGTGTCTAAAACTGCCTTGACCCAAGGGTCCGTGCCAGAGCCTGCAAGGCTGACATTCAGCTGGGGACGGTTGACTGGAGCCTAGATGTGCAGAGCAGGGAGGTGAGTTGCCCCTAAAACCACCTGGAGGGCCCTGAGGGCCTTGTCCGCATAGAGCACTCCTCCAGTTTTTTCCAAGAGCCCCACTTCTCCCTTGTTCAGCCAAATATTAGGGAAACATTGCTTCAGTTCCTCAGATGGGAGATACTGGTGTTCCACTCCATGCCTGGACATAGTGGCCTGGATGATCTGCAATTCTTGGTCCCCCTTCATTCCCAGTATCAGCAGCCCCGTCTGCCTGTTGGGGAAAAAAGGAACAACCCGGGTGAGCGTGTCAGTGTCCTAGGCCATTTGTCCTCACATCTCAGCAGGGCTCTGGTGCACACATGGACAGGGATAGAATGCCACTCCTGAGGTCAAAGAATGAGTAAAGTCAACTACAGCCTGTTGGTAGATTTCCAGCATGATAGAGCCTTTTCCAGTCCTTTTCCAACTCTGCCCCTTGGCTCTACCAGTTGGTTGGTTTGTCCCTCCTGCCTCAAGAATAAGTCCTCAAAGGCAGAGGTCTGGAAGCTCTCCTAAAGCAGGCCCACCATAGATAACCCTACTGGTATTTGAAATGTCAGCACTATAGCTACCAGCCTCACAGCTAGGCACGAGCCACCATGGTTGGGAGATCTCTAGCTCTGTGACTTTGATACGCCTTTTGGGCTCCATTCTCCTCCCTGTAACATATGACTACTAAGCTATTCATGGTTTCACACAGGGTGATGCCTTCTACCCAGGGGGCAGGTGGCAATGTGTTTGGAGACTGGTCATCACAACGCCTGAGGTTGCCATTCACATTTAGAGGGTAAGGTCCCAAGATGCCAAGCCTGCAGATTCAAAAGGCTCCCACTCCAAATGCCAATAGCGTGCTTATATGGAAACACTGCTGGATGGTCTCGTATGGATCCAGCAATAAATGCAGTGATCCTATGATTTTGTTTCTCCTTGTGCTTTCCTTTGTTTGTACTTACTCCCTCTACTTGGTGAAAGCTGTTTCTCTATTACACATTCTGTCTCTCTAAGAAACCAGGGCTCCCTTTTTTAGAGAGGGTCTGATCTAAGCAGTAGAAAGGCCACCCTGGCCCTGGGAACCATTCCTGTGGATTGTCTTGGTTTCAGCAGCCGCAGTGACCAGCGTCAGGCTGGTACATCCCTCAGGTACTGCATATCAAGCTCGTAATAGCCTATAATGGAGTCTCATGGATATTACATGCTTCCAAATCCCACATTATCTGGTTGGGGGGATTAAAGAGAAGATTGGGAGGGGGTAGGGACACAGCGGGCCCTGGGGCCGGTGTCAGTACACAGAGCTGCGCAGCGTGCCCAATCCATTTGCCATGGCCCCCGCCTACCCAGCATTCACCACTGGTGAGATAGCAACGAGAGCCTTCTGCCTCTTCAAAGCTTGTCAGAAGAGATGCTGTAGAAATCCCCACAAGTCACCAGATAGTCTTTTTATTTTTTTTATTCCTGTGGTCCCAAAAAAGAACTTCAAATTGTTCTCAGGTAATGAAACCTTACCTAGTAAACTTCCTGATTATGGGATCATTTAGAAACTACCAAGGTGTATATTCTCTGGTCTTTTTTGCCCAGACCTGAGTAGGAGTCTAGAAAAAAAAAAGTGGCTTAACTCTCTCACCTGACAGAAACCCAGCAGGGGGTTGCTGTGAATCAGAACTGACCAGACAGACAGTGAGCTTGTTTTTGTTTGGTTTTGGCAGCCATAATGTCAGACCTTTGGCCTGGAAATTCCAGAGCACATTTTAACTGTCACTTCAACACACCAGCTTTGATCCCTCATACACTCAGAGATTTGAGATTTACTTCTGTCCTTCCCTCTCTTTCTTCTTCCTTATCATCTCTTTTTTTTTTCTTCCTTCCCTTTGTTCTTGGAACTAAGAATTTCTCCTCTCCGAGGGATGCACCCTATATGGGGGAAATGAACTCATGCCAAGACAATGGGCAAATCTGTCGAATTATGAAATGCTGAGTGATGTTCTAATTCCCAAGCCGGCCTGTGGCGGATGAAGCGGGGAGCTCCCTATCCCGACGAGTAATCAGCGAGCTGATTCTGCCAGTGGATGTAATTGTGCCGATTGTAATCATTTTGCTCCAGCTCTCTGCCCCTGTGGCATTTATTTCTTAGCCCAGATATTGATCTAACAGTGGGAAATTTTCCATCTGAATTTGCGATGCCGGACCCTCCCCTCGTCCGGAGATGCGTTTGGGAAATTCTCATTTTCCGTGGATCACAGCTGAGCTATTTGGCCTGAGGGAATCTGTGCGCTGCTGGAGCAATGCCTCGGATTGGAGAGAGATTTTTGACCATTATGAGCAAATCGGAAATAAATGTAAAACACTGCCTGGAAATGCAAAGGCCTGTCATTATGGAAGATAGGTGAGAGGCTCCTGTGGGAAACGCTTAGAGAATTGGAAACCAGTCAGTCAAGACCAGGATCAGAGAACAGGCCTTTTCCCCCCAATATGAAGATAAATGACTTCCAGGGGCAGATTGAAAATCATTTAAGTGCTTATTTTCTTAATGGCCTTTCTTAGATCCGAATAAACGGGCCTCTCATCCTGCATCAGTTTCTTACCCCTGTTCTCTATACCTCACCCCCCCCCCTATTTAGGCTAGAACTTTTAGGATGGAGATGGGTGCAAAGGGACAAGAGCATCCACAGCAAAGAGACCAGGGTGGCCAGGAAATGATTGATCAGGGTCGTCTGGTGAGGAGGGAGTGTAAAAGCAGAGCTAGGAAGGAAGGCAGCTCCCAACTCCCTGAATGCCCGTCAGCTGAGTAGAGAGCATTTCATATGAACTATGCCTTCTTGCCCAGCCCTGGCTGGATCAGCTCTAGGAACAGGTAATTGAAGATTCCTCCCAAGGGCCTTGTTGGCTCCGCTATGGCATAGCTTAAGCCTCAGACGTGATGGAGGTAGTTGGTTGATCAGGCATTTCCACTAGTGACTCTAGCAGGCCTGAGTGCAGGGTGGAACAGGAGGAACGGGGGAGGTGGGGGCAGCCAGGGAGAAGCGTGCTCATCCTGCGTCTGCCGCCTCCCATCCCAGGTTTCAGCGTCTGCGTCTGTGGATTAAAAGTGCCAGCCAGCCCAGCGCTCTGAGTTACCTTGGGGAAGGGACCTGGTAATGGCTGCTGCCTTTGTTGGTTTTGGAGGAGCTCTCTGCGTTTCATCTTCCGCTCAGTGGGCCGAGGTGGAATTGGTTAACAAAGACTGCTCCAGGGAGGGGATGTGGCTGACAAGCCAGACACTTCGCAGACACAGGAAGCAGCAGCTGCGGAGGGGGCCACCAGGTTCTGCCAGCAGCTGTACTGCCTACGGCTGTGATCTTGTCTGATATTGTCAGCTAAGCAGGGGCAGCCCGGGTCAGGAGAGAGATAGTAGGATTCAAAGGGAGAAGGCGGGGCAGGAAAGAGATGGGCCACAGAGCAGGGATTTGCTGTTGGTCTCAGCGTCCTGGCTGTACACATCACAAAAGATTCAGACCCTGTGATCTGGCACATGCGTCATTGTTCCTCACATATATGCAAATATTCCGAGGCCACTCAGGTTTAGTTTGGCTCTGTCACAGGAAGCGACAGAACAAAATAGAAAGAATTGGGCACTTTAACTTCCAAATGCTAAAGGGTTTGGGTCTTTTTATTTTTTTTTTTCTCCTCTTAATCATCATCATCATCATCATCAGATAACAATAAAAGTCCACTCATATGATAGTATTGTGCTAGTTTTTCTAGAAGAATCTGGGAAGAAATAAGAATGGCAGTGATGATGAATCATTTAAAAAAAATCAGAACGAGAAGCAAAAACTAAAGAAACTGGGAAGGCTTTTAGCCCTAAAGGTAGAGCTATGTTCAAGTACTATTCTGAGAATGAGCAGTATCTGTTCTATATCCGCATTAAATAAAAGAACCAAATAAATTAGTGTGCCTTTGTAAATTGGGTTAGCTATAAGAAAGGACTTGTTAAGAATAATAAGAATCCCTGGCACTGGTATAGCACTTTTTGAAAGGTTTTTCAAAGTGCATCTGTATTAAACTTGTTACCATTGTGTTGATTCTGACTCATGGCAGCAGCCCTGTACAGCAGAGCAGAACTGCCCCATGGGATTGTCAAGGTTGTAAATCTTTGCTGAGGCAGATTGCCACATCTTTCTCCTTTGGAACTTACTGGTAGATTTGAACCACTGATTTTTAGTTTAACAGACAGGTGCTTAATCACCATGCCACCAGGGCATCTTAAATCCATATTAGTATTTCTTTTTGTGTGTGATGGGAGTACTGAGCTATCTGAATGGCCTTTTAAGAGAGGATATGATATTTACATCTTCAAAAGTACATTCGTAGTCTTTTGACCTGAGATGAAATAGGCCTGAATGAGTTTGGAGACAGGAAGACTAGACAAGATAAATAACTTGTGGTATCTGCAAAACCAAGCACCAGCAAACTACAACTCCTGGGCCAAATTTGGAGTGCCATCTGGTTTTATATGTCTTGCATGTCAAGATAGGTTTTATAGGGGAGCTCTAGTGGCCTAGTGGCAAGAAGCTGCACTGCAATCTCAGAGACACATGGTTCAAATCCACCAGATGCTCTGCCAGGGAAGGAGGGACAATCTCCTCCTGTACCAGTCAGATCCGATTTGGCAGTACACACACACAAAAATAATAAAATAAAATTTTTAGAAAAAGAGATAGGTTTTATAGCTTTTAATGATTGGTTAAAAAAATCAACTAAAAAGAAGAATATTTAGTAATACATGAAAATGATTTGGAATTCAAAGTTCAGCATCCATAAATAAAGTTTTATTGGAATAAGCTCTACCAATTTGTTTACATATTGTTTGTAGCTGCTTTTATACTGCAATGGCAAAGGAATTTGCCAACCCGTGTTCTAGAGCAAATGTATAGTTATTCTGTGATTTATATTAATGGTTTTAAGACCCTGATGACTCAGTAGCACTCTTCTCATGAAGCCGTAAGATGAATTGAATGAGGGTGTTCTGGTGGCCTAGTGGCAAGAAGCTGCATTGCAATCCCAGAGGTATGTGGTTCAAATCCACCTTATGCTGGAAAAGGAGGGACAATCTCCTCTGGTACCAGTCAGATTTGATTTGACAGTACACACACACACACACACACACACACACACATCTTAAAAATATTTTTTAAAAAGGATTAATTTAATGTGTCAAGAATTTAGAACTTCATTCCATACTGTGAACATTCAATATATGTTCCTATTATGATTATTCTTATTTTTCAAGTTCTATGTTAAGTCCTTTATGCACTTGTCCTTACAACAGACTCATGGGATAGGTATTATTACCCCTAGTTTACAAATGAGAAAACGGAGTCTCACAGTTTTAAACAACTTCTCTAAACTACTTCATAGTAGTTGAGATTTGAGCCAGATCAACCCTTGCAAAGACCCTGTTCTTCCAAAGGGGAGGATTTTTAAGACTTTAAGATCATGAGAATCTTCACCCAAGGGCCTCTTTCCTTGTCTCCTTGAGCCATTCTCCTTGATATCCATTGTTGCCTCTCATCTGTCCTCTCCTGCCCTCTTCCTTCGTCTCTTAATGAGTAGAGGAGGCTGTGCTGTGCTAGGGGGAAGGCATTGCCAGTTATTGAAAAGTATTTGATATTATGTCAAATGTTTTACAAAAGTACCATTTAACTTTCACAAAGCCCTATGAGAAAGAATGAGAACAAAGAAGTAAAGAAACTTTTCCAAGGTCACAAAGCTGGTAAGGGGTAGTGCACAAAGTCAAACCCCAGCCTGTCTGGCTCCAGTAACATCTCCTCTCTGGAAGATTCCAGGCACTCTCCTAACACCTTAGTTGCCTCTTTCTCTGTTGATGGAATTTGCCCTGCAAGGCTTTGAGCAATCTTTTTAGCATGTGACTACAAGGCTTTGGGCAATCTTTTTAGCATGTGACACAGTGTCTACAGTATTCACAGACAGCTGACTAAGGATTGTTTTGCCAGGGTACCCCCCCTCAGCAAGATACGCTCTTTTATTTGGGTGCTGGGTGCATTAGCTGCCTCTGGTTGGAATAAATCCATAATTAGCTGCCCTGGCTTGATTTGCATAATGGATTTCACTTCGTTCTTAAGTTAATGGTGTTTTTGTAACAGAACAGTAACCTCTTGGTTCCTGGCCATTTAAAATACGCCACACTGTAGGGTAGAACCACAGCTTTGTAGGAAGTTAAGAACGACAGAGAAGATAGGAGGTCCCGTTGCACCACTAGTTGTCTGTCTTCTTCTCCACAAGTGTTCGAAAGGTCACTGAGGGAGAAGTCTTAAGAGTTAGAGCCTTGGGGCAACAGAGAAATAGCTGTAGGCTGACTCCCTGTCAAGAAATTCAGCTTGAGGAACATCTCCATTTTGTGCCTATGGAAGGAAGTTGAGAGAAACTGAAACAATCCTGTATGCCTACTACTTATCTGTCAATTTGTCAAACTGTGGTGGCTTATACATTTCCAGTGCCAGCAGAATTATCCATAGTAGACAGGTTTCAGCAGAACTTCTAGGCCAAGACAGAGCAGGAAGAAAGAGCTGGTGATCTACTTCCAAAACCTGTTGTTAGATGCTGTCCAGTTAACTGTGCCTCAGAGTGACTCTAGGTACAACAGATCTGAACCTTGTCCTATCCTGCACCATCCTTATGTTCTTTAAAAAAAACTAGCCAATGAAAACCTCATGGATCACAGAATATGACCTAAGTCTTCAACTTGCTTATTTTGGACTTTGGATCAGGAGAAACCAATAGCTGGAGGATCATCTCCTTCTGGGTAAAGTGGAAGGTCAACAAAGGCTAGGGAAATCCTCATGAGATAAGTTAATACAATGGTTACAAAATGGACTCAGACACACCAACAAGCATGGTACAGGTGCAGAAATAGGCCTCGTTCCATTCTCCTCTAAGTATCGTCATAGCAACTACCAACAACATGAGGGTAAAGACTCTGAATATGGAGTTACAACTCCAGGAATAATGTAAAGAACCAAGAAAACAGCCACCTCCTCTAATGTTAAGCCCTGGCCTTTAAAGCTTCATTATGCCAGGGAAGTCGCGCTACAAACTCTAGCAGATTCAAGCAGGCCTGCCCAGCTCTGAATATCTGCACACAAGGTCATTCCCCACTATTTTCCCAATTCAGCTTCTGCTAACCTTGCACAGGAACTCAAGTCTGAACCCAGAGGCTGGCAGGAGCCAGCTGGACCTGCAGGGTGATCATGATTACATCGAGCAGAATGTTTCCATGTGGTCAGCATTCCTCTGTGCCCCGTGTCCCTCCCATAGCATTTCAAGTGTCCATGATACTGTCACTTGAAAGACTATTCAGGTCTGGGGTTCTGAGTTCAAGGAATTCCTCCCACCCCAGACCCAAAGGAACCTGTGTAATTGGACTCCAGCCTCACGCTCTAGCTGGGCCCATGTCTGGTAGCACTCATCCATCATCTGGGTGTAAAAGTCTTCATCATATGCTCTTCGGATAATCCGGGTCTGTCCATGGGAGCTTCCTCGGGAGTGCGGCAGAAAGAACTGGGAGTGAAAAGACCACTGAAGCTGTTATTTCTGATAATGTACCTGCCCTCACTCTCCTCCCTTGCAGACCCATCTCATCTCCTGCTGTCAACCAGGAAACACTTATAGGCCAAATGTTTAGATATAATCTCTCCAAATTCTTCCTTTTTACGTTTATTTACTGATCTGGCTATCAGGGCAGTTCTTTGGTAGCACTAATTTAGGCTCACATCATTCACATCAGGAAATCCCTTTGTTCGCTAGTCTTCTCTCATCCTGCTGCAATCTCACCACACTTAGACTCCTGGAGCACTAAACCTAGAAAGAACCCTCTCATTTTATGGAGAAAGAAACAGATGCTGACTTTTTTTTTTTATCTATGTGACTTCAGATTATTCAGAACAAAAGAATCACTCCTGAATTATAAAAAGCTGAGGAGGAATTTCCTAGGAGCTCAAATGAGGGACCTCTTTGAAAAAAAGAGGGGCTTTGGAAAAAAGTAATGGAGAATAAATGGAATAGATTTCCCAAGAAGAGTAAACCATAACAAGTCAGCCTGTTGGAGTGTAGGCAGAACGGAGCTGCAAAGACCCTTGGATGATGGGCCAGGTGGACTCATCCTCAGAAGGACACTGAAAATACACAGGATTTGTCAAATGTACTATGGCTGCTATGGATTACATTGCACAAAGTCATCTTTTCTATAAGGAAAACCAAGCCGTATGTCTTACTTCCTATCGATCAAACAATGAGAGATCTCTGGTGGCTTAGTGGATAGGGATGGCATTGTGCTGCCAACCCAAAGGCAAACAGTTCAAATCCACCAAACAGTTCAAATCCACCAGCTGCTCCACAGGATACAGTTTGGCAATCTCTTCCCTTATGATTTACAGTCTCTGAAAACCAGCTTAGAGGGTCAGCAATGAGTTGGCCCGATGCCTAGCAATGAACAACAACAATCACACACAGAGGCTGCTATTTATCCAGATATAATAGGAAAAAAGGCTTAGGCTCTGGAGTGAGACCAGGGATATGCAGAGAAGATCCCACATCCTAGGCTGACAATCAGTCTTTGCCTCTAGGCAAAATGATCTCTACTTAAGATTGCTCAAAGGAGAACTGATCTTTCTTAGATGAGTCAGTTAGTACAGAAGAGGCTGGGTCACCAGAGGAAGAGACTAGGACCTGCAATGCTTCTTGGTCAAGGGCAGAAATCAGGAGACAGTCAAAGTGGGAAATATGCTCACAAATCCAGTCTAAAGGAGGGTAAAACCCTTTAAATTGTCATGAGGGTGAAAGTCTTTAAATTGCAATCAAGCTACAAAAGTTGTACAGAATTTGTGTTGACTTGGGCCCTTTGGCTCTGGAAATCTTTTCAGGGACTGAGAGAAAAACAAGCGTTCAGGTCAGGAGTACAGCAGGAATACAATACCTGCTCCAGAACGAGGACTCTCTTCCTGTGTCTGGCCAGGTGGTAGGCAGTGAAGCAGCCCTGGATTCCTGCCCCGACCACAATGGCATCTAAGGGATCTGTGGGGGAAGCCATAGTAAGTAGAGCCCACTTAGCTCTTCAGCTAGAGAACTCACAAAGGAGAATGCAATCAAAGGTAGGGTCACAGTCACAGGAGACGAAGTTCAGCCTGACCAGTGTTCCCACAATCCCCCGGGGCCGTGTCGTTCTGCCCGCTCTCCTCCCCTTCCCTGAAAACCTGGCACAGGGCACACAGCCTCTGCAGAGCTGGATAGTCTGATTTGTGAGGTTTAGCCCAGCTCAGCTGCCAGCCTCACCCCTGTATCCCCCTAGCTTTCTATTCTTGGCTCAATTATTGTCATGCAAATGGGCTCCTTCCTATGCCACCTTCCTGTCTCATTATGATCTTTGTCTCTGGGACTTCGGCCCTGGAATTTCAATGCCTCCGCAGACCAAGCTGGGCACCAGGAATGCTGCTTCCCCCTGCTGGTTCCCCTCTCTTCAGCCCAATTTCCTTTGGAGACTCCAGAGGCCAAGCTAAGAACTTGGCGATATGCCCAGGGTAAGGTCCACCTCCCTGGTGGGTGGTAAGGTCAGGGGGGCAGATGAAGGGGCCAATTGGGAGGGCAGTTTTGTGATTATGCAATTATTCTCAGCATGTTTCACTTTTATAGTCTAAAAAAGAAGAAGATGAAATGAACCCTAAAGAATGGAAAAGACAGCATGAGAGGGGACGCCTTCTCCTTGGGCAGAAACGAAGGGACCAGCCAGCAAGTGGCTAGTAAGAGGCCCTACAGTGAGCATGCTCCGTGTGCCAGATGGTGTGCTAAATAAGTCCTTTTGCACACATTTAAAACACATCTATGCGGCGCAGACGCCGGGTGGTCTCCGCTGGCGGAGAGGATGGCAGGCCGCGGGAAGCTCAACGCGTTGATCGGAGACGAGGACACGGTGACTGGCTTCCTGCTGGGTGGCATAGGAGAACTCAACAAGAACCGCCATCCAAATTTCCTGGTGGTGGAAAAGGATACAACCATCAACGAGATCACTTTCCGGCAGTTTCTGAACCGAGATGACATTGGCATCATCCTCATAGTACATCGCTGAGATGGTGCGGCACGCCCTGGACACCCACCAGCGCTTCATCCTGGCCATCCTCGAGATCCCATCGAAGGAGCACCCCTACGACGCCACCAAGGACTCCATCCTGCGTAGAGCCAAAGGCATGTTCACTGCCAAAGACCTGCGTTAGGGGTGGCCCAGCTCTCCAGCCCCGCCTTCATACCCAGGCCTCTTCCGGGGCTTGTTATCCACCCTTTGTATTTTGAACCTCTTCCAACTCCTTGCCCGCTCCCACTCCAGACAGGCTAAGAGAGGTGGGTAGGGGTCACTGAGGATCTGGCATATAAACCAAGGCTGGTGAGAGAGTGGGAAGCCTGCCCACCTTCTCCCTCTCCCATTAACTCTTCCTGTGCTGTTACGCAGTGTCATTGTGGATGTTAAATTAAAGTCCTATTCTTGCTTCCCTCTAAAAAAAAAAAACAAACCAAAAAAAACCCAACCACATCCATGCTTGGTAAGACTTGATCCCTGAAACAATTTGGAAGTCTCCTTTAAGAAAAAGGCAAGAAAAATTGAGAATGCAAAATTAGGTGCCAGGACTGAAAAAGGCCCTGCAATTAAGGAGCCCAGTGGTTTAAGTTTTATTAGCATCATGGTGAATCTGCCTCTATGTACAAGATCTCATTTAATCCTCACAACCCTAAAAATAAGTGCTTTTACCCTCAATTCTGGCAGATTAAAGATGGTCCCAAATTCCTTGTCACTTTTTCCGTCACAAGCCCTCTGACTATTGGCCTATATAAAATACAGCAGAAGTAATACTACGTCTGTGTCTCCATCCTAAACCTTGAAGAGATTGATAGTTTCCTCTTATCTTGGAACATGCTTACTCTTAAAGACCTGAGCCACCATGTTGGAAAGATCACATGACTGGCCTTTCTTACCTGAAAAGGGTAAGGGGCCTGGCTGGGTTTGTCAGACTTCAGAGTGAAGCTATCTTGAACCCTCCAGCTCAGCCACCAGCTAAACAATTGAGTGACCCAGGTCAGTGTCACATGGAAGAGAAGAACCCCTCAGTCAAGCCCTGTCTGAATTCCTACTCCACGAAATTGTAAGACAGAATAAAAGTGTTATTTTCAGCTACTAAGCTCTGGGGTGGTTTCTTACACAGTAATTACTGAAGCACAACTTTATAGCCAAAGACAGTGAAGCTTAAAGAGGTTCTAATTTGCCCAAAGCCACACACCACTGTGAAGCCAGGTTCACTGTGAACAGCACCGTGAAGCCAGGTTTGCCTACTCTATAACCTGTTCCTTGAACTACTCTCAGAGTTAGCTAGAATTTGATATAATGATCCTAATTTCAGTATTTTGCTGGTTCTTTCATGGCTATCTTGAGAGAGGGAGAAAATGTTGGACCAAGAAATCCATGTGACTGACTGTAGTGAGCTCCCCAGCAGTAGTGTGGGGTTCCACTCCCAGAATCACTCCTCCTGTCACAAATAATCCCTGCACTGTGGCCTTAGGGAGCTCTGCTGGCTTAGTGGTCATTCCTTACCTTTTGCAAGCTGCCAGTGCAAAAGTACGTAGTTCAAATCCACCAGCTGCTCTGAGAGAGAAAGATGAGCAGTCATCTCCCGTGCAATGTATTACCCCTGAAAACCTGCTGGAAGGTCAGCTATGGATCAGTTCTGACTGAAGAGCAAACAACAGCAATGGGGCCATGGCAACTATGTGACTTCTCAGCCCAGGCTTTTCTTTACTAGAAAAATAAAGGCCCATAGAAGGGGTGCCATCTGACTGGCTCTTTTCTTTTTTCCTGAAAAATTATTAAGAGTCCAGGAAGTCATCTAAGCTCCACCCCACCCCTTATCAGCCAAGCTGGCATCTGCCTGGAAACCATCGGACCAAGTGAAAAATGGCAGCTGTAACTGAGAAAAATGTACCATTTAAGTATGTAAAGGCTTGATATAAATATATAAGGTCAGCCCCTGGATTCTTCCTGATAAGATGTCAGAGGAGATGAACAGTTTACACACAAAGAAAAACAGACAATAAATCCTTCTATGGACGAGTGCCCAGTTTTGCTGGCAATGAAAGAAACAGGAATTAAATAACTTCCAGGTACTATTATGTGCCTATTAAATGAGCAAGAATAAATAAAAATGATAAAGTCTTATGTTGTCAGGGCCATGGAGGTGGAGATAGAGTGGGGTGGTAATTCAGGTTGTCAGAGCCTTCTAGAAAGTTCTCTGGCAATAGGCAGCAAGAAAGGTAACGCGTTTATACCTTCTGACCTACAAATCCTACTTGGAGAACTAAACCCCCGAGGAAATATCCAAGGGAAGAAAAAGGCTTTTCTATGAAGATGTTCATATCCGTGTTTTTGGAATATATATATATATACTGGAATAATGCAATAAAGGGCACTAACTGAATAGACTCTAGCATGTTGACACAATGGAATACTATGTAGCTATTCAAAACGGCAAGCAGAGGGCTACATAGAAGGTGTACTTGAAATAATTCTTAGAAAAAGAAGCTGAGCACAAATGGGCATCTGCTGATCTAAACCACAAGTCACCGTGTGTATGATCAAAGATCTAAAAAGAGTTTAGTGAGGTAATGGAGCTTAATGCTCATTAGGTTCCATCTTTTATAAAAATTGCTTCCATTCACAATTTGTAAAAGAAAAGAGGAATCCTTTGGAGAATCAGATGCTTCATATCTGCCAGGTCATTGGTTCCAGGGCCCAGGGAAGTTCTTTCTTTGTTCTAATCTCAGTTCTTTCTGCTGCCCCCTGACACTACATATTGTTCGTTCTCCCAGGGAAGCTGCAAATCAGCTCTGCAACCACCCTCTTTTGCTTAATGTAATGTCTCTTCTGAGATAAAATGACAATCTATTTCCTCATCCCTACTTCACAAGCCTGCCCTGGATTCCTGGACACGAGCTTTTCTGCTTCTTGTTAAGAATTTCAAACGATTCCTCCGAAAGCAGATGCTGGCCATGGCCCAACCCTGAAATGAAAAGCAGATCGACTTCTGAAGATTTCCCCTCGACTCAGGCTTGCCTGTCCTTGTGGCTGTCCTGATGGGGGCAGGCAGAGAGAAGTGATCCCCTCAAATTCCATTTTAACCCCCATCCTGGAGAGGAACGCTATTAAAGAGAGAGCCAGCAGCCCTACACCTCACTGCTTGTGTGTGTCAGCAGCAATTGTTCGTGTCCTGGGGCAGAGACGCCAAGGATGTGAGGCTGAGCTGCTCATCTGATGGCTTGATTGACACTTCGCAGGCGGGGGTGGGAGAGCCCGAGCCAGGGAAGCAGCAAGCTGTACAGCTCAGAAATAATGAGAGGACCCGAATCGGGAGGGAGAAAGCGTGGAATAAATAAGAGAGACCGAAGGGTTGAATGGCGAGGGAGCAGCTCCATTCGCTTTTTCCTGCCCTAGAGCCCGGGGCAAGGAAGCAGGCAGGCAGGCAACCAGAAAACAGCCTCCCAGGACTCATCCTGCCAGCTGCTGGGGGTGCTTTTGCTTTTGGGTCCCCGAGTGTGTAGAGGACGCCAGCTAGAGAAAATGAAGAGCTCTGCCTGTGGTCTCAGTACACATACCATTTCAGGTCCCAGGTTACTTGACCTCTCCCTCATCCCTATTTCTCTAACCCCAGGTCACCCACCAACCTTCTTTTATCTAGATGATTGTATTCACCGCCTAGTTGGAACCTCCTCACTCCATCCCTGCTCCCCTTAATCTCCTGCCAGAGCCATCTCTTTAACTGAGGAATCCGAACAGGTAATTCATCAGCTGAACATTCTTTAATCACTGCCCATTCTCTGCAAGGATAGAATCTAAACTCCTTCTCTTGGCACACGAAGCAGTTCACGTCCTGGGTCTGCCGCCTGCTCCTGCAGTTCCGTGAAATGTCCCTTTTCAAACATCCCTTTATGCTCTTACAGTGCAGAGCTGAGAGGGGGTCTAGCACTTAGCATGTCATTTCAAATTCCCAACATCCT